TTAGAAGCGAGCTACATATTTGACAAAATTGAAAGTTATAACTAGAGCTGTGAGTTATAATTTTGTTTAAACTTATATTTGAATTATTCCATGACGTTGTCTAGTTAACTCGTCTAGTACCGGTTTTATAGACACAATTATAGAACAATAGGTTGCGGTCACCGGTGACCGCTTGGTGTTTGACAGTTTAATTACTAACTACTAATCATACATCTAAATTAGGTTATTTATTAATATCGACCTTCAAAACAAATAAGATCATGAATAACGTGGCTCGGCCTTAGAATTAATTCATACGGCCTTTTGGCTTTCGGCGAAAAAAGGCCTGGTTCCCCACTTCCAAATGTTCGGATATTAAGGGGAGAATTAATATTATAAATGATATTGGCCCAGATATTAGTAATTTTGTCCAAAACGTTAGCCGAATATAAATAAAGTGTCATTTTGTGTACAGTGTGTTGTTTAATTTTAGGATATTAAATTAGGTGACAGATATTTATTGACCGGATATTTGGATTTCAAATTGTAAATTACGATTAAAAATATGCTGAATTGAAATGCTTTGTAAAATGATTTATTATGTGCTTACTCACGTTATTATTTGACGAGGAACTCGACTAGTTTCAAGCCACGCTAGGGGCTCAAAATGAGCAGCATTTCGCGACCTACGTCGCGGTGACTGTTGCTAAGCCAAAAACATAATAATTTATTTAGTATGCCCCACGAAATTTATAATACAAATATAGTAAAATGATTTATTTTGATTTCAAAAATAATTTGTTATGTTAAATATCTGCAGGCAAACATTACATATGACAATACATTTTGGGAATGTATTACGTTAATATCAATTTGTAAAGTATCAGATTAAACTGTCAAACACCAAGCGGTCACCGGTGACCGCAACCTATTGTTCTATAATTGTGTCTACAAAACCGGTACTCGACGAGTTAAATAACAAACAATAAACGTCTACATATCTAAATATGAAATGCATTCACACCCATATTTCGAATTCCTTGTCCCATAAACACGAATTATTTCCCTCTTGAATGCGTGATACACGCAAATGTTGGACTTTACCACTTCCCTGACAGTAGAAAGTTGTTTTATTATATGTATCTATGTAGATAATCGGTTTGTGTAGCATTTAATATGATTGCAGGACTATTGATCGATTGGGAAATATCGTGAATACTATTCCAGTATAGTCACGAACGTCCAATAACTTGAAAATGACAGTTTTTATAGAATTTGCCGTATGTAACGAGCATAAAACTTCGAATAAATATTATTAGCTTCATTTTTATTAGCAATTTCGCATTCACATTTTAATCGGCAGTGTTTATGCGTGTACACAGGAACTCTGAATCTAAAAAAAGATATTACTACGCAATATTAGGCTCGTTGTAACTTATTACTCTAGTGACACATATACAGCAATCCTTATGAATACCAGATGGCTATCCCATGCGATTAAACCAACAAATGTTTTATGTAATTTTTACTGCCAATAAAACACCCTGTATCGTCCAGCGTACAATCAATAAAAACAATATTTACGAAGTGTATTAATGATGGAAATCCCCCTGTATACGGACACATCTGCAATACATTTTATTGTCCACATGGGCACCATTTGTATATGTTATTGAATCCGTGGCACTTTAGGTGCCCCGCGTGGATTAAAGTTTTCTCGCCCTTCTGCAGGCTGGGGTAAATAGTGAAATGCGAGAAGAAAGATTGTTATGGTCTTTTTTGTGAATAGAAGGACCCATTTATGTTGAGACACCATGGCCTCACTTGTTTTTTATTGCAACATTGAAGGTTAGCTAACTAAACGACCTCTTTGACAATCAGGAATAAGAGGTTCATTACGCTTTATACTTTTTTTTTCTGAATTGTTAGACAGTCTGTATTGTGGAATGGACGATGACAGTCCATATAAGACCATAGACTTATTGTCATAGATATTTGTTTTAGTTCTTATTTGAATTGACAATAGTTACCATACTGAAGGACCTTTTTTATTTGTCATGTTTTTTTTTCTTGTTGTTTTTTTGTTTAAACTCTTTCTTAGTAATTTGAACTAATCGTAGGTACTATTCTCTTATTAAAACATGTAGATTTTTAACAAAAAAAACGACCTTTTGTTTCTTTCTCCCTCTGCGTCGATAATCCAAAAAGTTTTTTAATTTAAAACTTAAACGTTCACCGCGAGTCAACATGTAAACTTAACAAATTTTACGGTGTACATTTTTTTAATTTTTAGGGTACCGCGCGTGCACTTATGGAACCCCTCCGGTTGTGAGGGTCCCGTCATCATCTAGGATCATCATTCGTATTCAAATCGCAGACGTTCTTAATCTTGTTTACGCTTTATAATGAGGAAAATATAACAAGAAAACTCACTCAAGTATCTTCAAGTGAAGTAGAAAAAAAAATTCGGAAAAAATAATGCAAATTTTCCAATTTTTTCCCCGCTCCTGTTTTTTCCCCTGATACGGAGAGCTCAGTCCTCAGATAAGACTCGCACTTGACCGGTTTTTGTAATATTCTTTCTTCAAGGGCTTTGTTTCCAATCTGAATTTTTATGAAAACTAGTTGTAAGTTCCACCGGGTACTAATTCAGAAGGATATTGGAATCGGAATGAGAATAACGTTTTTTTCTTTTTCTTGAACAATTTGTTTGGTTTTATTCCAAGTTTTGATTAACTATGAGATTTGTTCTTCGTACTACAGATTAACTCGTCGAGTACCGTCATTAAAGACACAATTATAGAACAATAGGTTGCGGTCACCGCTGACCGCTTGGTGTATGACAGTTTAAATAAGTAATTTATTAACATTCAGTTAAATGAAACACCTATCATATTAAAATTAAACCATTTAAAATACGGTTTCATAAACTTCAGACTGAAAGTCTGAAAGCTTTTAAAACACAGACACGTCAGCAATTAGACTCCTGAATCTAAAGAAAATTAAACGTTGAAAGAAATGAACAGTAATTACCCTCAAGTGTGCCTCAAAAGAGACCAAAAGGTCATTATTTTGTGAAGTCGCTCACAAGACTGAAATTAATAGCTATGTAAAACGAACCCGCATAAACCTGAAATAAATAATTCCCACTGAAAACTTTGACTGGTACCGTCGCCTTTACTGAGTTAGAAATACTTACCAACTTCTTACTTAGAGCTTACTTAAGATATTTCGAGGCTTTGAGCACACACGGCTGCAGATCAAGCTATGCAAAACCAGTATATCATGACCTCACTTTGTAAGATCTTTCAGCACGTTCGACGGTCAGTTTATACTGGTTTTGCATCAGCTGAGTAGCAGTGTACGTCGAACATTCTGCAGGACCTTAGTTAACGTGTGTATTTCAAAGTTAGCAGGAGTTCTATTGCAAAATACAATTTGATTGCAGTTTATTTTTAACTTGTAAGTTAGACTGCTTCGTTAGACGAGTTACCGGGCTTGTGATGGTGGAATTTGAGGGAGGAATTCACGGATCCGGAATTTTGTTTTGTGGTATTTGGTGGACCGACGACATCGCCAGGGTTGCAGGAAGCTAGAGGATGCAGGTGGCGAGTTGTCGTTCGACGTGGAGGACTAAAGGCCTTTGTCTAGCAGTAGACGTCTTCCGACTGTTGATGATGATGATGATCAATTTTGTATGGCGTTTAACCGTAGGTATTGTAATCATACAAAAAAGCCATGCCCACTAACGTCATAACTTTAAAATAGTAACGTAAGCAGTTGATCCTGCGTCTTTATTATTAGATTAGACACTTCAATAATTTATTATAATTATGTCAAAATGACACTATAAAACCAGTTTAATAGGGTAGATGCCTAATTTTTATTTTAATGTCCGTCTTGTAGATTATTTTAAAACATTAGACACGTATTTTTTATTTTCTTACAGAAACGAATGCTTTCGACGATATATTGATTTGAAATGTCGCGTGACGTCACTTCTATGTACATTTTATACGTAGAAATGACGTTTTAGCCCCCAGTACTAAACTTTGATTCGTTTTATCTAAGTATTGTTTTATTATACGACAAAATAAAAAAAACGTGTCTACTGTTTTTTAATTAAGTACCTAACTTACGGACTAATTAGATTTTTAATTTTCATACCCTGTCATGTCATCATCCCAATTGACATACCTGATGCTTTGCTTTAGATTCCAGCATCAAACAACCAAAGGCAATGCTTATTATCCCAACATTTTCGTACGAACTTCAACAAGACTTTGAACACTCCAGATTTTTTCAACCGTCCATAAAGCTTTAATAACGTAAAGCCAAAAATATCCAACAAAAATAATTACCGGCAAACCGCCATTTAAAATTTTTTTCCACTCGTTCTAACAATTAAGCGGTTTTTAGCGGAAAATTGGCCAGAATTAGGCAGAGCCAAAAAATCTAGACGTGACCAATGGTACCTGAAGGTCGACCAGTATTGCGTCATAAACCACTCAACTCTTATTTTACAAGAAATAAAGTATAAAATCGCTTGTAAAAAATATTATTAACTATCATCTTGTGTTTGGTAGCGAATTGATAACATTAATTTATATCCTTGATTTTATAAATAAGACTATGTTGAATTTAATTTACGAGGTTGTCTAATGGCTACTTAAAAATGTATTCAAATTATGTCGTGCATAAAGTGTATAAATAATAATAATAATAATGTTTATGGCACTAATACCTTTAATTTCTTGTGTTCATTTACACGTGTATTGGCTAAACTTATTTTGTTGATATTTTCTGTACGTTTGCAAAATGTAAGACCTAATATTATAATTCTTTCTTGACTTAGTATTGCAGATGATCTAAAGCTATAGCAGCGCCTCTAGCGGGTGGCATATACCTACCTATTTTTAATTCATTTGAAAATTAACATCCTCCAATTTTATACCTCAAGGAATGTATAAAAACTTGTTTAATATATTAGACACTTTTAATTAATTTTAACTTTGTTTGTTTCAGATTTAAGTGAACGCAGTGTCCAGTGGTGCCAAGTTTTAGTTCAAAATAAATATTAATTGCCAGTGTGAAAAATGTGTTAGTTCATCATGTCGCAACGGTGGCGCTGCGGTCGCATCACGTGACGTTTACAATCCAAGATGGCGGACTCGAGTCCCGCCAATTCTATCATCGAGGGTACTGTGAAGTTTCGCGATGGAAAAAAGGTGAGTCAATGAATTTAATTAAAATTACTGTCTTTAGTGGTGAACAATTAACACTTTCGAGGCCGGAAGGAGTTGATTAAAGGCGAATATTTTTTTTTAAATGTACAAAGTCTACGTTATAATAAATTTCGAACCATAATAATTTAAAAAGTTTTGTATTTCTAGGCTTGTCACTTGTCTACATCTTATTAGCTTCCGAAGAATGACGAATAATCACGAATCAAGTATGAACTATAGACAAATACCAAACACTTTATCTAATCTTAAAAATACTTGCAAAGCACATAATATACCTTACCTTTACATTGGACAATTTAATAGGACCATAACCAAAAAGCAGAGCATACAAATATCACACCTACCTACATCTACTCTAAATCTATCTTATCGATAAAAAGTTATCAGTTACCACAAAATTCTAACTAAAAAACGTAGTAGCTAATAGAGACGTGACTATCTTATCGATACGCTGAAATGTGTCATATCGATAAAGTGTTTACGCACTTTACTATAACCGGTAGCTTCTGGGAACCGGTTGACGGATATCCGTATTCAACTGTCATTTAACGGAGCAAAATAACATACACCTGTTATTCTATGAAGAAATATCCAAAGAAGTGTTTATTCAAAACAGGACACGAAGAAACACATACATTAAACAATGTTTCTCCTCATTATTTCGGGCGTAATTGCACAATACTTAATTCTATATCAGATTTTTAATACAAGATTCCATAATATAACTTTTTTGTCATACAACATATGCAGACGAGAACACCTATGACCTAATTTGTAAGCTGACCTTTACAATTTCAATATATTTATCCTCTTATTTATTTCCTACTCTTTCAAGATACCTTTCTTTCAATCCGTCTGTCTTAAAAAAATACTTACTCCTATCACCCAATACGCCTTCCGCATCACAAAATAGCTTACCATAATAATACTGAAACATGATGTCTCCAAACTAATGAGTCTCCATTATGAAGCCAACACACACCTTGGCGATTTGCCAAACAGATCCTACAACCAACATTACCTTTTCGAAGTAGGAATTCTACAAATTAAAATAATAGGTCTCCCAATTCTAATGTTACAATCGTTTTGTTTCTGCAAATAAAAATTGTGAAATTGTTCATCCAATTTTTGCTTGTTAGGTACTTGGGATCATGTGTTTTAATCTATTGTCATTTCCACGGTCTGATTGCTGATTCAGCTAGTTTTTAACAGTGACTTTAACTGTAATTAACGTCATTTAACCCTTATTTATCCCTATTATTCAGAAATCTTGACTGATTGATTTAAAGTCCCATTCCTTAACTCGTCGAGTACCGGTTTTGTAGACACAATTATAGAACAATAGGTTGCGGTCACCGGTGACTCCGGTGAAACCGGTACTCGACGAGTTAAGGCAGATTTGAGAAACAAAATTTTATCTTAAATCTATTTGGCAATGAGGAGGCATCCATCGTCACGTTACATAGGAAGAGGTAAAACCACGTTGACGAGCTATTTCTCAAATATTATGGGAACCATCTTCATAATTATTATAACAATGCCATTTGTTTTGACGATGCTATTAGTCACATTAGCTTTAGCGTGCCCTTTGATCATATCTCTATGCAAATACTGAGTCATAGGACACTTCCTGGATTTGTTGTGTGATTCTATACTAATGTGTCATTAATTGAGAATTATTGTTATTATTGTGAGACTATTTGCTTAAATTGTATGCTCATTAGTTAGGTCAAAGGGTGGAAAATCCAAATGGAGGATTACCGAGAGGATCTTAGGGGTTTAGAAACCATCAAACTCGAATTTACGGCCACACCCGAATGGCTCGATTTTTTTTGCGCGTATAGGCTTTAGTGGTTTGTATTTCAGAAAAAACATAAAAAGAATTACCTCACAACGCGATTAATTGTTCGGCATTACAGTTTTTTAATGATTGAATTTCGTAGATAAGATTTTAATCTGTAGAGCTACGGAAAAGCAGTGTTTTTGTTTCAATACCAACAAAAATCAGACCCAATTTTTCTCACTGCCAGAACGTTCGATAAACACTCGTTGATATTGAGTATTGGAAAACATTTTCATATCAGTATCATTTCGAGAGCTCATTGATAAGACTGATAAAACCGCCCTACATACAATAATATGCATCATTTACCCGTAAAAAGATTTGTAGGTAACACATCAAATTAAACTACCGGTCTGAAGTTAGCTGCCGAGCGAGATGGAAGATGGCATGAGCGTAAGCACAGAAAGGGATGGATAGAGAATACGCTTGTGGCTAACTTCATAGTGTGTACGTAGGTATGGCGCTTGAGTGTCAAGTGATTCCAAATGAGTGTTTGACTACCTTTGTGAGGAATGTTAAGATTATATTGTTGAATTGCAGTAACGTTTTATGCAACACTGTAAAGAGTTTTATCATACTTTACGCAGCCCGCGGGTGACGTCAAAGCCGACAAAACTCATTATCCAAAACCTTTTAAACTTGGGTTCGCTGCCATTGCAGCGGTAAGTCCTCTCTTTGAGGAGTGGCTTGAGAGATGTTACGGCGTCCTCACCTACCGCCTGACGCAGATGCTTCCCGGACGCGCAAATTTCGGTAGATTCCTGTTTCGGATTATCTTCTGAAGCCTCATAGTTCAGCACTGGACTGTCACGGCCTGTTAAAACTGATGACTATGTTTTAAACAGAGCATGATGGACCAACTTTTACTACCAAAAGTTTATTTATACTGGAACTATAAATCAGATTATTTTAAACTGTAGTAGGTATTTCCGGAATGGCGTTACTAAATGATATCATTTCCGCATTTCTGTCAGAATGCGAATGATTGATAGCTTCATTAGTCATCTAGTCATCTTCATGATAGAGTTATTTAAAAGTAGGTTGACTATTCGGTTTGGTTCCCGCATGGAACAACTTTGTTATCCTATTAATGTATGTTATGTTTTTATCTCACCCAGGACATAAAAAGTTCTGGTGTGATAGATAATTTACCTATGTCTATTTGCAAAACAATCACTATTTAGCAAATATCAAAATACTTTAAAAACATAATCTCATATTAACTGCCTAGATCACAAATAATCGCAATCATAATAAAAACGGAAAATAATCCAATAATCCAATAATCCAACAATTTTATCGTTCGATTCCCGGCAGCAAAATTAACACAACAAAAATATAATAATGGCTGGCAATTTGTGGCGATACGAAACACGAACGCAACAGTACGCCGCGTCGTTGTCACCACGTTAATTAAAACGCCAGTGAGCAATACGCCGATCCGATACGCCGAGTGGTCAATACGCGGTTACCAATTAATTTTGTTAAGGTACGTTTAAGTACCCAGTATGTAACAACTTCATGGCTAGTACTATCCAAGAGGTTATATTTTGGAATCATGATTAGGGTTCCCTTTTTTAGAGAAATTAGTTATTTATCAAACCGATTGTGTGTGTTGCTTCGCTTTTAAACTAATATAAAAAACCAAAGAATTACTTAATATTAGAATAGTTACGATGATAAAATATTATGGGTTTCTTTTGCCTAAGATGTCTTAAATAATAAGTAGGTACTTAAACATAGTAAAGGAACGGATGGGGCCCAATAGGGCTGATGCCGATTCGGAGCCGCAGAGAACGGATTACCGGGGCTCCGGCTCGAAGTGGAGGAGTAAGAACGGGGCGGTTTTTAGTCAGTAAGAGCCTGACACTCCTTTCCGCCTCACCCAGACGGGAGCAGTAATTCGATGATTATGATGAAAATGCAAACATTAATATTTTTTAATACCTATATGTTCAAAACCTAGGTATAAAGTCAAAACTGTAGCCTTACCAAACAAAATACAAATGTATATTGAAAAATAAATATTTGTCTAAAAAACACAACTTAATGGTAATCCTCGTTCAATGCAGTCGTGTAAACATGGAACAACAAAGAGTTAAAGTGAATGGAAACGCCATGCTCTGCGTAATTATCAGGCTGAGCGCACTCACTCAGAAGTGGCCACGGACCGATGGACAAAGGCGGAGACTCTGATGCCGAGTCACCCTGACAAAACACGACAATTTATTCAAGCTCCTACATTTTTGCAAGTCATATCAACCAGGAAATGTCCCATTTTAGTAGTAAAATCTGTATTTTTATCTCAATTACGAACCTAATCTTACTCTTAATAATATTATAAATGTGAAAGTTTGTGAATTCGTGTCTGTGTGTATGTATGTACTCAATCACGTCAAAACGGCTGAAGGGATAGGGATGATATTTTGAACAGGGATAGGTTATAGTCTGGAATAACACGTAGGCTACTTTTTAACCCACGCATACGCGGGCGATGCCGCTGGCAGAAGCTAGTTTATTAATAACAAAATCTAAAATTGATTAAAACTGTTCTAAACTAAACAACTCAAACTACGAACAAAAAAGTTTTCAAACGATACGTTTTAGTCACTTTGTGAACTAAATTAAATTAATATTCTCCACCCGGCATCCTATGAATAAATTAAAATAAGTATCGCGAATAGCTCTTCTAGCTAAGCCAATCTGATGTCTCACTTTAATTAAAATTTTGTATCGATTCGCAACAGTTTTCCATGAAACCATAAAAGTTTTATGTTTCAATTTCATCTTATGGTCTGAGTAACAATTCTCAAGTAGCTACTTTATACTACAGCTAAAATTCTCGTCTATTTTCTTTGTTGACGAATTTTACGACAAAAATGTTGAAATGCTGACGACGGGTCTAGCCAAGGATATTATTATTGTCATCTATTGACTTGTGAATGGCAGATGACAGTTGTCGAATTTTGAAAGTTAAAATAGCGAATAGGGAAAATCCCTAACGTTTTTTAAACAATTCTTCGATTAAACTAATCTAACGTGCTGTCCGAAATGTTTCAGTTTATAGTAGTTATTATGATTCTAATCCAAGCTCCGTTTAAATTTCAAATAAGCGACTCGTTTACAGTTTCTCATAAAGCGATTTTTTCTCTCGTATCCCTGGTTTACTAGCAACACTAAACTGGAATAGCACTCACTTTTTAGAACGAACACTATTATTTTAACTTCCATCCAGTACGTGTTCCCTATATTACAGGGTTGAATAAACTCGGACATTAAACGTTACGGCTTCAGGGGTTCCGCAGCTAGGTCATAACTCGTTAGCCGACTCGAAAAACAGTTTAAAATAACTGCCGCATTTTATTATAACAGCCAAACATAATGACTACAACAATACAGTAAAAACAGAACGGAAAGAAAATTAAAACATCTCTTTTTAAAATACTATTTAATTCAAATGTACTCGTAAATATAAACAAGACGTTAATTAGATACTTATCTGCCTATAAAATCTGGGTCATGAAACTACGTTCTAGTTTACTGAACAAATTGCAAATTAGTTTTCAAACGAAAAAGCAATGATCCGATTTAATCTCTGCTCTATGTTAAATGTTTTTCACACTACCATAAACATTTTGAACCGAATCATCGAAAACTGTTCAAATAAATTCACCCTAATGTATATTTTTAATGTCAAACACTTTGAAAAGATGTATTAGTTCAATCAAATGTAACTTAAACCAGTGTTTATATTAAAAATGGTATGGTACCTACTAACCTATATCTTCACAAATCTTCAGTTAATGATAGGTCTACAAGTTACAGTTCGTTTCAGATCAATTGAGTCAACACATTTCTCATCATTGTCAGTTAACTACCATTTTTAATTCACGTGTGAATGCTGTCTACCAGAATTTGTTGAAACACTACTCAAAGATAGAACCTACATCATGATTAATCTAAGGAATCATGTCCAAATCTCGTTAGCTCGATAATAAACGCAGTTTAAGTCAGAATTTAAACGTTTCTTCCTCAATTCTGCGAATTTTTCTGTTCATCATCATCTTGAAACGTGATATCCTTCAACACTCTTAAGATTTCAATCCTCGCTTCAAACTTCTGTTTCGCTTTCAACTTCCGAAAGCTTGGAACTAATGAAAGCATGAATTGCCTGTCCTCATCTTCTTCATCCTTCTTTATTTCCTTCAACATATCTAGAATTTTATCTTCCAAATTGTCACTTCTGTCGTACACAGGTCTTAAGTATGAAGCGGTCGTTGTCCCAGCCTGCGCTGGGATTTCGGTTTCTAACTCGAAATGGGCGGAGTTATCTGTCTGTAGTGATGCCTCATAAACTGACGGTTCATTCTTAATACTTTCTAAAGGATCTGATGAGGAATCATCACTTTCACAGTCCTTAGCTGTGTTGCTTGTTCTCTCTTCATCATCTCCTGTTTCTAATAGAAAGGACATTGTGTTGAAATATTCATATCTCTTTCTTTTTCTTTTCTTCGATGGTTCGGATTGCTCTCTCTTTTGAAGACTGAGTTCCCTAGTGAAGCATGTGCGAAGACTCTTCCAGCGTTTTTGCAGTTCGTGACCTGGAATTTAAAGGCAGAGTTTGAATAAATACATTAAATCATACTTACTATCTAAAGTGTTTGTGAACTATGTCTGTGTGAATGGTCTGTTTTATCGGTTTGCCTTGATTATTATTGGCTATACTCATCTCCGCTACTACTCATAACACTAAACATTTGATAAATATAACAATCATTGAATTATTTGTCCATAAAGAAGCCAATTTAGCACAATTGTTTCCAATTCTAGGTAACACCTTGAGATGTCTAGGCGTTGGAACAATTAAGGCGATATAAAGTTATGTAGAGTGGTTAGACTCAGTGCCCTCTGTGCGGCTCCTTCGGCCTCGTTACGTAAGAAGCCTGACCACAATGTATTCGCGATTAACAAGTCTAATGAACGGTCTGCAGTGATGGAGGTAATGCAAATTGATTTAATGTACTAGGGCTATGAAGTCAGAAAATTATAGTTTGAAAAGCTGTCCGAGGAATTAGAGGTTGCGTCATTATTGCCTAAATAACTAGTTAGCCATAGTATAAATGGAATAAAGATTTGATTCCTTATTCAAAAATGTTCTCACTGCATTTGAATTTGATTATTTTTTATCTGTTGTGTAGTTAAAATGCAATGCAAATTGTCTTGCTACTAAGAAAAAATAAAAAAAAATCCAGTCAATCCTTTACAAAATGCTCTGGACTGACATCACACCCCGACACAATCGCTTTTACTGCTACACCCAAAGACCAAATTCTCCAATTCCAATATTAATTCACCAAACAGACATTGAAATAACAAACACAAATTGCGATGAACTTCTAAAACATTTCCGTGAAAACTTTGACCGGAGATCGAACCCGTTACCCGTCTCAAAGTGTCGGGGCTGTCTCATTAGGAGTACGATGGAAACATGGGTCTGATGAATTTCGTCAATACTCTATTATGGACAATGACGTTATTTATTTTGTTGGAGCCAAAATGTATAATGTTATGGAAAGTGAACCATGGAGTTTCCTGCTCGTTCTCCTTCATAATCTACATTTTGGGAAATTATGCTCTTACTGTACTTACTGTGTGTATACCTTTGACTGCCTTGTAGTCGGGCAAAGTCATTTAAGGACTTATGTATTTCAATCAAGCGACACAGAGTCACTTTTGAAAAGTCAACATTAATTGAAATCTACATAAATTTAAAGGGACTAGTTACTAAGATTTATTCTATTAATGTTACTATTTCTTACGTAACATAATATTATAATTAAATAAAATATAAGTAGACAACTTAAAATTAACTAAAACCGCGAATAGAAAAGAAGATAAAATAATAACTACTAAAATTAGACTATTTTGTAAAAATGTGCTAAAAGCCTAGATGCCAACATTAATTTTAAAACATTTATTGACTGACATGACAACCAAAACAAAAATATAACCTCTGAAATATTACGACTTGGTCATGGTTACTGGTTGACTAATCTCATTTTAAAAACACAATCAACATATAATTTTAACATAGTTTGTTAGTAATACTATCCGATATCTGTTTTTTTACGAGTAAAAACTACAATAACACATAACAATGCATTTTACCATAACTCATTGTTTATGATAACACATTTCCAACTTTGCTAACGAGTGATAAAGTACCATTTACAACGCATTCACCTCTAAAAGTAACCGCCAACAAAAATTGTCGCCAACCACAGATAAAACACAAACTAATTTCGCTTTTATTCCTACGTAACTAAGTGAGTAAATAGCGTGAAACTACGCCGCCATATTTACAGTTTTCATTGCTCACCTTGTTCAACCTTGGTTTGCGGCTTGAAGTTGTCCCAGGCAGAAAACACTTCTTTGCACACCTCAAACCACAATCTAGATTTATGTTTCTTATTGTTGTAGTAATAAGGGTCGTTTTTATTGTACAATGATGGACGTTTTTTCACTGCGAGAATGAGTGCTTCGGTGTCTATTCCAAACATTTTGAATTATTGTGGGAACGGACGTGCGATTGTGGCGGGACTCGCGGGGCAACTGCGGGGAGACGGGGCGCCACAGTCGAGCGACGATCGGGCAACATCGCGCCGAGTCGGCTTGCCTGTCAGCGCACATTTTCTCGATCGACTACGATGTCCATGAGTTGTTGGTTTTGGTTAAGGCTACTGCTAAACCGTTTTTAGATTGATTGAACCGGGGTTGAATATGTTAGAAATACAAACAATTGTAGTATTAATTGTATGCCTCTTATATATGAGACGCAATAGAAAACAAATTGTGTCTCGCGTAGATCTACGCTCGCATACTATGGGTAATGACATGTTACAGTAGCTTATTTGCAGAAAAAAATAACTTTTTTCACTTGTCACTTGTATGATCTCGTAATATTTTTTCTTAAAATTAATTTATTATATTTTTTCTTAAAACTCGATTTTGTTGCTATATTTATTTATTTTCATAGATAACTACATTATAATAAACAAAACAAAACACAAATTCAAAATATGACTTTTAAAACCAGCAAAATTAATCTCCAAACAATGTCGCCATATTTATCCCGAAACAAATAACATTATTGTCACTGTACACTACAAGTATTTGCGGTCGGCGAGTGTGAATGAAACAAAAGATAGTGAATGTGGTAAGTGTGAGTGGGATGGATGTATCGGTTCGTGGACGGTGACACGCTAGTTGGCAACATGTCGGGTGATTGACGAAAGTGCTTGGTGAACTTAGTACACCTAACTTAATAGATTTATTATACAGAAAGATTTATTTAATAAGATTATTTGTAGTTATACATATTGATAATAACTTATTTATTTTTATATTTTCTGAATGATATGCCTCTGCCTCGTTTGGTCGAGTATGGCGTGAGCGCAATATGGTGCGACTGCAGCAAATCATAGGGTTTCGTATTCGATTCTCCAGTCGGGTATAATTGGGGCTTTTCAACAACTGAGTAATAATAGCACGGAGTTCGGTTTTTAGTGGTTTGGACCCTGACAACCGGGGCTCCGGTTCAAAGTCGGAATAGGAACGGGATGGGTTTTAGTCAGTAAAGAGTCTGGCGCTCTCTCTCGCCTGATGGTTTTATGAACCTCTGTCTGCTCCTTTGGTGACTAAAAACTTCACGTTTATGTTAACTAGGCTTAGCTCTCGTACATCGAAGTTGTTTTAATACATAGATAATTAATATTCTATTTACCTCTTAAGATTTAGCATATCAAGTGGCTTAGTTAGCTAAGTGAGTATTATCGCTATGTTTAATATTAAATATACGGTCATATAAAGAGACTATAATAATAATTAGCTATTACTTAATCAATAATACATGTACTAAGGTATTTTATTAAGAACTTGATATCCTTGACTTCGTTTTATTAGGATTTATTATAGAATTTTTTTTATGGCATAAGCCGGTAAACGGGCAGACGGATCACCTGATGGTAACCAATCGGCGTCGCTGGAACACCAGAGGCGTTACAAGTACGTTACCAGCCTTTTGGGGATTAGGAGTTTGAGGATCGTTGAGGATTCAGGAATTGGAGTGATTGGAGAAGGGGAGGGTAATTGGGCCTCCGGTAACCTCAATCACACGACGAAACAACGCAAGCGTTGCTTCACGCCGGTTTTTTGTAAGGCCGTGGTATCACTCCGGTCGAGCCGGCCCATTCGTGCCGAAGCATGGCTTTCCCAGGCTTAAGATTGACGCGTTACGCGCGCGCCTCAAAGTACCATCAGACCACCACAGATGGGGCCTAATAGGGCCGATGCCGATTCGGAGTCGCGGAGAACCTAACGGGTAACCGGGGCTCCGACTCGACGTGCAGGAGAAGGAACGGGGTGGTTTTTAGTCAGTAAGAGTCTGACACTCCCTCCCGCCTCACCCAGGCGGGAGCAGTCATTCGATGATTTTCCCCCCTTAAAAAAAAAAGACTTAAGATTGACACACTTGAGTTGGAGATTACAGTTTAAATGTTACAGGTTTACCAAAGAGAGCTGTTGATCTCTGTAGATGTAGAATGTAAACCCATCATCGCCTCTAACGAAACCCACGGCAAGAGCAGAGGTGGTGAAATAAATGTAGAGCTCTATCTTACAAATCTTAAAAAAATAATATTAACTGTGTTTTAATTGTTTTTGTTTTCTTTATTTACAGTGGAAATCGCGATGGTGCGTCATGCGAAAGTTGTCTCCTGTTGCAGGTAAATTATGGACACTATACTATTTTATTTTAAGATCCATTTTTCATATATCTGCTCACAAATTAAGGAAACAACGTTTATAATTACTTTTATAACTTTAAAAAGCTTCCATAAAAATATTATTAAATGTATTACTTCTAGGAAACGTACTTACTTAACCGACTTCAATAAAAAGGAAGTTCCCATGGACATTCACAAGGATGTTTTTTTACGTCCATTACCTGTCAACAACTTTACAACTAGATACTACAAGCGATTTTGAACCTTATTGACATAGATAAATATCGCATGGAGGTTGAATATCAATTGCATGTAAAGTTACAACTATAAACTGCAATACAAGCGATTTGCAACCTTATTGTCCTAGATAAATATGGTATAGAAAATGAATATCAATTGCATGTAAAGTAGGTAGTATTTTTACGTAGAAAAATGATGAGTCATGCTTTTGTAGGGAATTTACATCCATTCATAGCTGTATGAGAGAAAGAGATGGTGATATAAAACTATTGCTGTCTCTGTCTTTTGTTAGAAGTGTAGTTGCAGAAGTGCAAGTGTTTATGTACAATAACAATATCAAATTAATTTTGGTTAAACATCAGGAATAATGATAATAGGATGAAAGGCGACAACGCGAAATCTAAACCTCGATCTTTCAGATGAAGCTGATACATGAACGTTGTTGAATTAAAAAAAGAATATCATATCCATTTAAAATTCGAATAGCATCGGAGAAAAATATTTACCCTATGCGCATATCCTCCTCACAACCCAGTTGTCGCGAAGGACACTGCGGGCGTTGGGGATCGCGAGACGATCTCGCCACCACCGTAAGCGGTAGGAGACCATGGTAGCTCGCCGCCCGACAAATACCAGACCCGAGCGTACGGTGCGTCGCGTTCCGCGCGTTTATCAGAGCTATCAGACCACCACGGATGAGGCCCAATAGGGCTGATGCCGATACGGAGCCGCGGAGAACGTAAAAGATTACCAGGACTCCGGCTCGAAGTACAGAAATAGGAAAAGGCCAAAGGGTGATTTGTCCCCCCTTAAAAAATCCCTATGCACATAATTTTTGCAGACTTAAGGACAATAAAAACAATAAACTAAAACTAGAAACAAAATCACTGCAAAACTCTGACTACTAAAAATGCTGTTGACTACAACAGCATTCAATCGATTCGCCTTAGGCGATCTTAGCTCAAGAACCAATTAGGCAATAGGATATTATTATAAAGTACATAGTTAGCCAATTATTTCTAATGATGTTCTGTCAAAGTGTTGCCATTATCTCGTCTCTAAGATAAAAGAGTACTAACTGTACATAACAATGGCTGTCAGTCTCCAATTAGATTCAAATATAAAAACATTCCGAGTGAAGTTGGCGTATCTAAGTATTCTACACGCGTTGACATGGTATAATGGAGTTCTAGAAGGTTCACTTTGAGCAAGACTTGAGATTTGTTGTGGTGTTCGCTTCATTAACAAGGCATCTCCTAAACATAGGTAGGTCCCTGTGACTTTAATGTCGGTCAGTAGGCAGCGACCTGCGTCGCACAAGTTTCGTTTGGTTTGTAAAAAATTGGGAATATTTGTACACTAAGTACACTACACTACCTATGTGATGATTTTCACGTCCCAGACAACGATAGTTCTGGTTCTAGAAGAGTGTCTGTGAAGATTATTATTTCTATAAACATTTTTGTTCTTAAACAATTTCTTTAGGTGTTTAGGAGATTTTTCCTAAAAAAATCCAGGTGCAATAAACTGCTCGTGTATCAAATTCTGAACATTGACGATAATTATATACTTACCGCCTTCTCTCTTTCGATCAATAAATATTACCTACATAGAAAGAACGAAAATGGTTGGCGGGGCTCCGGCTTGAGGTGCAGGAGTTAGAACGAGGTGGTTTTTAGTCAGTAAGAGCCTGACGCTCCCTCCCGTCTCACCCAGGTGGTTACAGACATTCGATGATTATCCCACTATAAAAAAACTGCTTAGAAATGCAACTTAAACTTCTGATTAACCTCCCATATGATACTACAGCCGTCACCCAGGTGTATTTCTTAGTGCTTAGACTTCTAGGAAAGCACCAAGGCTAACAGCTCGAGCGACTTCAAACTTTGTCACTTTGACATAATCCGCTATTTCTGCTAGCTAACTAATTCATTTCATTATACTTTTAGATCATTATCCAGTTGTTTATGAAGTGTACTAGAGAATTTATAAAGTTCTTTGTTTAATAAATGACTTTTTAATTCTGTTTCAATGTTATGAAATGGCATCATAAGATACATAAGCGTCGACATGAAGATTTGCATGTCACCTTTTTTTAGGACATAAGCCGGTAAACGAGCAGACGGATCACCTGATGGTAAGCAATCGGCGTCGCCCGTAGACACCTGGAACACCAGAGGCGTTACAAGTGCGTCACCGGCCATTTGAGGATTAGGAGTTTGAGCATCGTTGAGGATTCAGGGATTGGGGAGATTGGGGAAGGGGAGGGTAATTGGGCCACCTTCTGTAAGAGACGTAAGTACATATGTGTAGATAAACCCTAGATGCGATTTAAGGAATTCAGACTATAAAGAATACGGTATTCGATAAAGCAAAACTTCGTGTTGTAAGAGACATCAACTAAAAGATCATTCCCAAAAACAAAACACATACATAAGTATTAAAAACAAAGTAACGGTAATATAATTTTATATCATAAAACTAGGACACCCACCTGATACAGCTACTTAGGTGGGTATTACAGACTTTCACCGAAATTTCGCAAAAAATTCGCTGTGATTTTTATAAAATATTATGTTTTGTATAAAAATCTAGCCAAGTGCTCTCACCAAGGACTCGGGCACGACAGGTTCCGTACCAATATCTGCGAATAAAAAACAACTGTCTGATAATATTACTACTATTTTATCTTGTTCTGTTTTAAGTAAGTACTTGTTTATATTATAACGTCGCCGCGTCGCGGGTCGCGGAATGTTGTTCATAAATATGAGCCTCTAGCATGGCTTGAAACTTGTCGAGGTCCTCGTTAAATAATTACGTGAGTAAGGCCAAAAACCAAAATAATTAATTAAGTATTTGTTCTTATAGCGACATCAATACATAATAGTTTGATCTGAAAGAACTTGAATAGTTTCTAGCTATCATGGTATACACAATACAGCCTACTGACATACATACAGACAGATAGACAGTGGAGTCATCAAAGAGCCATCAGACCACCACGGATGGTGCCCAACAGGGCTGATGCCGATTCGGAGTCGCGGAGAACCTAACGAGTTACCGGGGCTCCGGCTCGACGTGCAGGAGAAGGAACGCGGTGGTTTTTAGTCAGTAAGAGTCTGACACTCCCTCCCGCCTCACCCAAGCGGGAGTAGTCATTCGATGATTTTCCCCCTCAAAAAAACCCTTTACCTACGGAATTCTAAAAACATACCTATTTCTGTTCGTATCCATTTAATTAGTGAGATGATTCCGCTCTGATATTTTACTAATTTAGATCCTCGTTAGCAGATTAGTTTCGGACTTACGGACATATTTTTCGTGTTATACGTAATATTTTTCGACGTTATTTTTCGTAAGTAAGCTCTACTTAAGTGTAGGAATGTAATAAATATCATTGATTTATTACCTTTTGTTGATTGCACGTGTTAGTCGATTAGTGATATTTTTCTTGCTAAATAATGACATTATTTACCTGGTTTTGTACCTAAGCATTAAGACAGTTTAGTTTACACCTCTTTTTATTAAAGTAAAAAAAACAACAATACGTGATCACCCATGTGATGTGAATTATACAGCACATAATGTTTAATGCAAAAACACAACACAACGGGACGGTAATCGAATCACATACAACGCTTATCGATCTTAAAAGCAAAACAACATCAAAATGCAATAAAGAACATTATACTATTACGCAAAGATTAATCATATAACAAAACAGACAGTCCAAGTTATGTATTATACCTAATTAAGTAAGATCCATCATCTCATGACGTTTTAATATTAATCTTTTATATTTACACTGCAAACAGATGTGTCGGACAACTTTGACGTCCACTCACTACAAGCTTTTCCATGCGACTGACTTTTTCCGACAAGATGCGGGTATATTTGATTAGGAGCGGAGGGATTCGAAATTTGAATAAAGGTTTTTTTTAGAAGTAGGTGGTATTGGTTTAGTTGTTAGTTGCCTTTGAAGGCAGGAACTAGTGTTGGTTTCGGGTGAATGTAAATTAGATATAGGTTTTTTCGGAACTTCCTATGTTCTTTTACATCAGCTGGTGTGTAAAAAAATATCCATGTGCCTTTTTAAAATAATGGATTGTTCCCCACTCTTCCTCAGTCTTGTAATCTAAACTTAAACTCATCTAGCTCCCAGCCATGTCGAAATTACCAAATTAATAGCTATTTATATTACAAAATCTCATCTTTATAAACCACAAACCGCAAAGTAAATTATTCTAAACAAAACAAATTCTAGGAAATCCTTCCAAATACGCAAAGTTCACACTAGTGTCCCTCAGCCCAGGTCTCATAGAAAGTGCAAGAGCTGATAATTACAACACAAATAAACGGCGACATTTTGCGTCCTAATGTTTCGCAACAACGCGCGGGCGACGGGCGCGGGGCGACAAAATGACGCTGCGGCTCGCACTTGACACCTTTATTTCTGCACGCAAATATCTAGGGGACATAGAGTATTTAGCACGTTTGTTTTTTCACAGATGCGACAGTGAGATGCGATAGTATTGTGCCTAGTTTAAACTGATGATGGAGACAGTTTTAATGGTCAGTTATACATTGCTCGTATGATAAAAATGTTATTTGGAAATTGAATATTGTTTTTATTTCACTCTTTCTTATTAGATTGTAATTTTTTTTCTACTGATTCTGAAGCATTTATTTCAGACAACATACAGCAATATTGAAACATCAAAATAGTTCGTCAATCGGTCCTTAGTGTACTACTCTTCTCT